ATTTTGCATGACGTCTAAAAGTTCAGAGCCATCTCCAAAGGTGAAGCCTATTCCGGCAACAGGTCAGGTTCTTTCGTCCTTTTTCCAAAAGATACACTTTGTTGAAACCCTACGCCGCCGTTTCCGCCGAAGGTTGAACTCACATCCGCCTCTAAAAAAGGGTTTGGTTCCCGGTTAACCCTGGTTTAACCTCCGGTTCCCACCGGTTTGCTACGTATCACTGTACTACATTAGTACATTGCCAACCAGACCGGTTCGGCGGTTTCTTGTTCTGACCGGCCGGTCCGGTTCTGTGTTTGAAACTTTGCCCAGCAATGTAGAGGGTTGGGGTTCAACCTTCGGATTATAGAGGCGATTGTAAACCCTGCAGTTCTAACCTGCTGCCGTGCAGCGGTGGAGATATGTGGGTGATGGCGGTGGCTATATGAAGGCTACATCGGCGTTTTGTTAGATCTTTGTAGTATAAACAGGCAAGCGCACAACATTATTTCAGGTTCTTATCTGCTATGTAATGAAGCATCTGTGTGAATTTTCTACTTCCAAAGTAGCATAAGCAGTTGTATTTTTTGGTTAAAATTTTTTCTCATAATGTGTGCATTTTAAAGATGAAAATTTTTAATGCCTGTGTAGCTTTTGATTTTAGTAATTTTTTTATATCGAAACATCTGACCTCCGATTATATACAATGGTACTCTCGAGAAAACATTGTTAGCTTCAATTTAGTTGTACATAATGTTCAGTTTTCTTCAGAATCCGTAGAGAAGAAGAGGACTGTCTGTAATGACGTATCAACCCACAGAGGTGTTGACTGACCTCTAGAAACCTGTAATGGCTATGGCTGGCTCAATGGCTCGAATCAGGAGGCTTTTCTTCCCCCTGCCATTTAAACTGTGTTTTCCCTCATCTCTTTGTCACTGCCAGCCAACTTCAAGATGCTCAAAACCCATTGCAGATCTCCCCAGGTCAAGATTTGTTAATCCAATTCTTCCACTGCATATTGGGTGGGAGCAGAGAAGTTTTAGTCATGGAACTGTGAATTTTGTGATATCTTCGGATGGGAAGCCGAGATTTGAGACTTTTGAAACAGACCCTCCAAAGAAGGAAAAATGGATGACAAAGAAGCGACTGAAAGAGAAGAGGAAGAGAGAGAAAAAGAAGAGAAAAGCGGCGAATACGAGAGATCCTAGAAAGCTGGGAGTTAGAGGAAAGAAGAAGCAAAAGTTTGCTACTTCTGAAGAAAGGATTATGCACAAGCTTGAAAATGCAAAAGTCAAGGAAGCTTTGCTTGTTGAAAGATTAAAGCGATATAAGGTTCCCAGAATCCAAGGTCCCGAAGTTATGCCACATGAACTTACTGGGGAAGAAAGGTTTTATATCAAAAGAATGGCCCAGAAAAAATCAAATTATGTTCCAATTGGCATAAGGGGTGTGTTTGGAGGTGTTATTCTTAATATGCATCTTCATTGGAAAAAGCATGAAACTGTTAAGGTCTATTGCAAGCCTTGCAAACCTCGGCAAATCAAAGAGTATGCTGATGAAATTGCAAGACTGAGTGGTGGACTGCCAATTCAGATAATTGGGGATGATACTATTGTTTTCTACAGAGGGAAAGATTATGTACAACCAGAAGTGATGTCACCAATTGATACATTATCAAAGAAGAAGGCATGGGAAAAATCCAAGTATGAGCAATCACTAGAGTCTGTGAGACATTTTATTGCCATTGCTGAGAAGGAGCTTGAACTCTATTACAGGCATGTAGCCCTTTATGGTGATTCCAGTGATCAGAGTCCACATCCAATCATTAATAGCTCCACAAGCAGAGAAGAGGGAGAGAAACTCAAGACGGCTCCGAAGGCTTCTTCAACAAGATTGGAAGGACTATATGAATCGGACATAGAAGCGGATTGCTCGGAGCTTTCCGATTACAAAGATGAAATTGACACAGAAGCAGATTATCCTAGCCAGGAGCTGTCAGATTAGAATGAAGGTCCAGATGAAGACCTGTAGCTGATTAGAGGTATCTATGAATTTTAAACTCTGAATAATCTTGGTGTCGTGCTGGGTCTATCACCTGCATATGTAGAAACTTGTTGGTATAAATACATAATGGGTTGATGTCCTGTAATTTTTTAGTTCAATTAAAATGTTTCCCTTTAACTATTTAAGAGAATTCCATACATGTTCTAAAGTTACATGGTTCAGTTTCTCTTTGTTTAAAATAAATTCTTATAAATTCTAGGTTTTTGAGAATTTATTTGTGAAGCCATTTGCTTATTTGTTTTTGATCTGTGCTTTTTGTGTTACTAGAGCCTGGGGTCTCTTGAAAACATCCTCTTTACTCTCAAGTAGGGGTAAGGTCTGCGTACAACTCTCGAGACCCTACTTTTCTGGGATTCTACAGGGTTTTATTTGAGAAGTATCCTATCTATCTGCTAGTGGGGCAGTGAAATTCCATTTCCTCAACATGCCTAATTACTCAAGTAGCTGGTAGAGAATCATATGTGCGCATAAAATGAGTCAAGTATATTTGAAACAAGTGTTTTTACTGCTTTAGTATGGGCTGGTAACTTATAGAGAAGCTAAAGCAAAGAGGTTAGCTTGTGTATACATATAGGAGCTTATGAATAGAATATGTTTTAACTTCTAACATATAAAAGTATTAAACTGAATGCTATGTGCTCAGTAAGGGCAATAACCACCATGATTTCATTAATCGTTCACTTAAATTTCAAATAATAACTGAGAACTGTCAAGAGTTTCCATCATCACTGAATACTGATGGAGCCAAAAATTCACTATGTTGGCTTTGGGGTATGGTGGAATAAACCTAAATGGCTCTTTAAACTGTCTGTGCTTCTTTGAACAGTGAAGTAACAGTTTGTCAATGAAACTTTAGATGCTCCTCATGGGTCATCTGGAAACAGCCGCTCTATATTTTAATCATAGGGGTCAGACTACGTACATCCGGCCCCCTTTCCCCGCAACGGGTTGGAGCCTTTGACGCACGGGGGTAATATTGTTGTTGTTGTTGTTACTAAGAATTGTCAAGAACGACCTTCAGTACGAGCCCAGAAATGATCTGAGCTCGGTTTAACCTACCATCACTTTAATATTTTTGTGGGGTGGGGAGGGGGGGTACAAATTAAAATTTATATTTTCCTGGTGTGTTATGAATTACTGTTATAGTTGCAAGAATATTACTCTGAGTTGCAAGATATTTTGAAGTCAAGTGGTTTGCTAATTTCCTCATGACCATGAATGAAGTATATACCCAAACCTTAACAGGGATAGAGAGAAAGATGATGAATTATAGCAGGTACTTCTGATGGATCTATGTGTCCAGTTGTTCTCCTGGCGCAGAGACTATCTTGTGCCGTGCTTCTTGGACATATTGTCCTCATGCATACACCATTATTTCTCGCTGATTTCTTCTCTATCCACCATTTTTCTCTAACATGCCGGAAACATCACAAACATAATTAATGGAACAAACATATACTCCGTATGAAATTTTGGCTTGGTTGGAATATGGTTGAGGTTGAGAGCCTGAACTCCCCAGATTTCTTTTTTGTTGAGATCCAATTCTCCCGTCCGAATTTTCTGCTTGTCTGTTTCTATTATTTAACCCCTCATTATAAAAGGGTGTATATAGTGTCCTACTATTAATTCTTATGCTATAAAACAAGATTTCTCTTTGGTGAAGGTATGGCCTTTTAGTTTTGGCAAGGCAGGCCTCTTAAACAGTCATGATATACTGTTTTTAATTTTATTTTTATTTTTGTTGTGTTTTTTTGGTTTAGCTAAATTCTTAATTAAAACTTGTTTGAAACTCTTTTGGGAAAAATAAGCAACAAATCTTCTTGATACAAAATTAGACTTTTTTGTATTGCGTTCAATAGCTAAGAACACAAAGTATGGAGTATGTAAAGATTCAATGCATATGAGTCTCTGACTAATGCAACTCTATCTAAGCTATCTAACTTAATACAAAACAACAATAACAATAACCTAGTAGAGTCCCACGAAACTAGGGGGAGGGTGTGCATCCACAGACCTTACCCTACTCAGATAGGCTGTTTCCAAGACTCTTTGGGCTCGAGCAACATAGCTATCTAACTTAATAATACTCACTCCATTCCAAATTAATCATCCCAGTTTGACTTCACGGAGTTTAAGAAAACTGTTCAAAAGTTCAAAGAGAGTGGTTGAAATTTGATTAGAGGAAAGAGAAAGATTGTGGACCGATATTCTTTACTTTAATTGGAAAGTAAGGAAGTGAGAAATTTATTTTGGCAAAGACTAAAAAGGATAGTGAGACAATGAATTCGAGACAGAGGGAGTAACAATATTATAATTATAATAATAATTATCTAGATTTATGTTTTCCTTTTAAGTAAAGAACAATAAACTTGTGACTTAATTATCACTCCCAAAAGGCTGGTGTAAAAGCTTGACCATTATTGTCTAGATTTTAGGTTATTTTATCTCCTTTAATCAAACTCACTGCACCATTATATTTAAAGCAGACTTTGACTCTGGCAAAACATACAGGAACTGAATGGGTACTCCATGTTATGCTTTTGTTTTTTTGGAACCAACAGTCTTGTGAGTATGATTGAGCCAAAGATTCACTATTTTTTGGATTAGGGTTTGATGGAATAAAGCAAATCTTTAAACTGTTTGCGCTTCTTTAGTAGTGAAGTAGCACTTAGTCAATGCAACTTTCGACGTTCATCATGGGTCATCTGCTTTATGTTTTTAACATAGGGATAGGCTGCGTACGTGATTACCTGTGGTTCTTGAGCCTGGAGTCTCTTTGGAAACAACCTCTCTAATTTCGGGTAGTGGTAAGGTCTGCACCCACACACCATCCCCAGACCCTACTTTTGTGGGATTCAACAGCCAACAGGGTTGTTGTTGTTGAACAGTCTTGTGAGTGAAGGCCAGGTATGTGGAANGTGAAGTAGCACTTAGTCAATGCAACTTTCGACGTTCATCATGGGTCATCTGCTTTATGTTTTTAACATAGGGATAGGCTGCGTACGTGATTACCTGTGGTTCTTGAGCCTGGAGTCTCTTTGGAAACAACCTCTCTAATTTCGGGTAGTGGTAAGGTCTGCACCCACACACCATCCCCAGACCCTACTTTTGTGGGATTCAACAGCCAACAGGGTTGTTGTTGTTGAACAGTCTTGTGAGTGAAGGCCAGGTATGTGGAAAAAGCTGCCAAGCTGCTGCTCTTAATAATTCCTAAAACCTTAGAATTCTTGTTGATGTGCATCTGACTCTCATGCGAAGATTATCACCACATCTCCGTCTATTAATATAAAATTGAAGTTAGTGCTTGAAGAAACAAGCAGAATTCCCTTATGCAAACATTATATGACCCATTTCCTTCATTTTTGTTATAATAATATGTTAAAATAAACATTCGGCGTTTCAAACTTGCTGGCTTTATGATGGTGATTATTGGTAAATTACATTCAATAATGGAATCAAACACAAATGTAGTATTACATTAATATGGAAATTACGCTTAATCACTTCTTTTTTCACTATGATCAATAGGGCTTGTGATTTCAACCAGATGTTGGAGCTCTTGTGCTTGCACCAATAGCCTGAGGATGTTTCTGCACGCCCTTTGTGACTAAACTTTGACAATTTTTTTCATGCTTTTTGACTTCTTCATCGATATGAAGATCATCATCAATGGTTATAAAAGTAGTTTGCGTGCCATGTGGACCTGGGACAATTGTTTCATGAACTTTTATATGTTCATCCACCTTTACAACATCACTTTCTTGAACCATTCTCTTCTTTCTCTTTTTGATAAAGCAGCATAATGCCACAGAGAGGAATGCTAGAAAGAACAGTCCACCAAGTGAGACAAAAGCAATAATGATGACATGGGAATGATGTCCAGGTTGTGGTGGCGGCTTAACTGCCGGTGATGGTGGTGGCAGAATGTGTGGCGGAGGCGGCTTGACAACTGGTGATGGAGGTGGAATGGAAGGCCTTGGTGGCCTTGGTGATGGAGGCTGTGGGCTGGGATAATGAGGTGGCGGAGGTGTGCTGGCTGGGTGAGGTGGTGCTACCTTTGGGGAGGACGGGGGAGGGTTGATGGGTGGTGGGCTTGGTGGCACATTTCCTGGAGAGAACGGCGAGACTTGTGGCGGAGATTTACAACCGTGAGGTGGGGCCGGAGTGTAAGACGGGAAGAAGTTGGTTTGAAAACCAGCCATTTCTGTGTTATTAGTTGGACCAGTTAGAAAAGCCTCTCACCATCTGTGCTCATATCCATTGTGAATTGCGATTTTATATTGATGGTTTTTTGTACTCAGAGTGTGTTTGTTTATCCTTCTAAGTTTCATATAACTTGACTGTCATTTGAAGGCGTTTTCGATGTGCTGTCATTGATTGCACTAAAATGCACTCTTTTAATTTCTCCTCCCAAATCCAATCCAACTGCTTCTACTCTATTGAGAAACACTGCTTAAAATGCAGGTCAGATTTATGTTTATTTAGGTGTGGTTTGGGTTAATGTAGGGAAGAGTAAATTTTCTGTGCATTTTTAGTCATGAGCACAATAATGCTGAAGTAAACACATGTGAACTCTGTTTTGTGGAAGTCTAGTATTTTTTTATCTGTTTCAATATATTGGAATGGGTTGAAAATTGCTTGTTGAATTAATAAAGTGATTTCTAGAATATTTCGTCAGAAAAATCATTTTAAATCATTTTAGTTACCAAGTGCGGAGTAATTTATGTGCTCCTTCTATCCGAACTAACCTGCAAATCCGATATGATCCTGTCTAAAAATTTAGGGTCTTAAATCTGAATCTTTAGTCTTGAATTCAATCCGTAATGACTTCAAAAGTGAAATATTATGGATATACTCGGAGTTTTTGATAGAGATATATTCTGTGCAGCCATTATTGCTTGATAAATATACAGAGTATATCTGGAAACAGGATGCTGGAAACATGTTGAGGAACCCCAAAGGAGATGAAAAAATTGAAAGAAATTTTGAAAAATTGGAAGAACACATTGAAAGGAGTCGAAAGAAATTTAGGAGTTGAAAAAAATAAAAAGTTCTAAAATAATTAGTACGGAGTATTATATTTTATAAATTTAATCTTTTATTTAAATATTTAAACTTGACTTTTTTTCAATTTTTTTTATTTTCTCCTATGGCATTATATTTTCGGGGCTAATAGCACAGATGCCTCCTGTGATTGAGTGATTCACGCTAAGAGCATATTTATAAAGTTGGGTGAATTAATTACGATGACGACATGTGAACACATTTATGACACGTGTCATGCCACATATATCTTACAAGCCACATGGCATGACATGCGTGTATATTAAATAATCATTATTCTTACTATATTTTTTAAAATCATTCACTTTCTAACTTAGGGAGGTGTATTGAATAAGGATTCTTATTCATTTAAATAAAATTCAATGGAATTTGAAAGTTTAGGTGTATTCAATTGTAACTTTTAAAATCTATAAAAATCTGGGTGTATTCAATTAGGAATTTAAAAAGTCATTATAAATTCAACGAAAGTCTAGCCGTATTCAAAATAGACTTTTAAAATTGAAAAAAAATCTATAGATATTCAGGGGGGTGTATTGTATAAGGAATTGGATTCATATTTTTAAAATCAATGACTTCTATCAATGTCAATGGACTTGTGTTGAAAGTCATAGACTTTTATTGATATTTTAAAAGTCATTGATTTTATATAAATAATTTCTATGGATTTTAACAAGTCTATGGACTTTTATTTGAATAATTTTATAGATTTCACTTCCACCATTCAAGTATGTTCGTCCAGCATTATTTTTTGCACTCAAATAAGATTACTTTTAATTTTAAATTAAATAAATATTATATTTTTATATTAATAAAAAAATAAATTTTATATTAATAGAATTACAAAAACAAGAAATAAATAATTTGAAAAAAACAAATATATAATTAAATTGTCTGATTAATCAGAAAAACTCAAAAAGGAGTTTCAGAATCTCCTTTTTTTCTTGGCTTGTGAAAAAAATTATGGTTTGATTGAAGAAAAAAAAGGAGACGTAAGAGACGATGCTTCTTCTTCTTCTTCCTGCCTAGGCTGCATTGGGGCAGGGACGGGGTCGGAAAACGACATTTTTAAAAATTATAGGATGCGGTTACGGCGAGGATATGACAAATAAAATAATAAAGTACTAAATATAGAATTAAAAATGTAAAAAAACTAATCAACAATAATGCAATTTTTTAGAATTTAACAAAAAATAGTTCAAATCCATATTTTTAAACTTTTCATTGTTATTGTTAATAATTTGTTTGATAAAAAAATAGTATTACAAATAATAAATACTGAACATTAAAATTTGAATTGGAAATATATATATATATATATATATATGGGAGCGTCTAACACCAGTTACTTATACACCAGTTGCTTACACTAGTTCGTTTGAGGTACCTGCAGTGCTCCGTTTGTAAAAATGACGGTTCCTACCCCGCTAACCCTCCCCCTAAACCCCCCACCCCAGCCCCCCCTCCCGCCCCCTCCCTACCCTGGCAGTACACTGTGAGGCAGTACTGTGAGGCAGTGTACTCCCAGGGTAGGGAGGGGGCGGGAGGGGGGGCTGGGGTGGGGGGGGCAAGGGTGGGGCTGGGGTGGGGGGTTTAGGGGAAGGGTTAGGGGGGTAGGAACCGTCGTTTTTACAAACGGAGCACCGTAGGTACCCAAACGAACTGGTGTAAGCAAATGACACCAGTAGCACTGGTGTCATTTTAGACTTACCGTATATATATATATATATATATATATATATATATATATATATATATATATATATATATATATATATATATATATGTATGTGTGTATATATATATATATATATATATATATATGTATGTGTGTGTGTGTGTGTGTGTGTGTGTGTGTATATATATATATATATATAGGGGCTGGTTCAAGTGAGAATGCACCTTGGTGAAAGAAATAAGAATAAAATCTGGCCTTTGGATTTGATGCATCGTGCGGCTCAGATTACATTCTGCACTCAAATTTTGAGATAGTGCATTTTCAAAGGATTATGGTGCATTTCGACATGATGCATTTTCAAACCATCTTGGTGCACCTAATTTTGATGCAATCCTAACCCTTAGATCTCCCAATCTAATGCACCAGATTCATTCTTATTTCTTTCATTAGATTGCATTCTCACCTGAACCAATATATATATATAATTAGGCTTTTTTTTGTACAATTTGCAAATTGGAAATATATATATAATAAATATTAATTTCTCATTAAACGAATATGGCTTCTTCCTTAATTAATTATTCGGATCGAATTTGGCTACTCCGTTTTATTAAATAATAAATCCTAGTTTATCTTTCTAATAATTAATCAAGGAAACGGAGTAGCCAACTCTGGCCCACTATTATTTTTTTTTAAATCAATTTTTTTTTCTTAATTTCTCATATTCGTTTTGCTATTATTTTTTTTAAATCAATTTTTTTCTTTATTTCTCATAATTGAATGACAAAAGTAATATTATAAAACCAACAAATTAATTACATGTAATGAAACAAACAATGTACTAATAATAAAATTAATAAATAAAATAATTATATATTGACTTTAAATAATGCACCATACACCAAAATTAAAATAAGAAGTAAATCAGAACAAATTTATTGATAGAGTACATATAATTTATTCATTCATAAAAACAAGGTTACAAAACACATGCCATAACTAATTTATTTTGTAAAATTCATAAAACATAATTGAGATCCATGATATAACTATTGTTCATTGCGACGTCGCTGTTGTCGGTAGTCCATGTTATTCAGATAGCGAGTTTTGGTAGGTCGATCGATTTGTGTCCTTGCTCGTGCAGTTGGTCTCACTATCTCGTATCCTGGAGTAGGCCATTCGGCCTCATCGGGAAGCAGGATTATGATGTCCGAATAAGCGTTGATGTAGGATTGGATTGAGAAAATATTAGGAATCAAATGATCCACGGTGACACTATACTGATGGGGTGCATATCGAATAACAGCCAATTCTGATGGGGTTCATGTGCACCCTTTACAAATTAGAGATATATTATAAGTTACTTTTAAAACCACGAGGGATGTTGGAGCTCCTTTTTGAAACCATAGGCGGCTGTGGTGCATTTTCCCCCATTTGTATATTCTAAATTGTAAAATGTTTACACACAATGATGCATTTAAAATATACTATGATACATTTGAATATGAGTTAGAAACACATCGGATAACGCAAATTTAAAAAGATTAAAATGCATATTTAAGAGGTCAAAGTGCAAGTTTTCGAGAACTTTAGATTTACACTAAATTTGTTTTTAACTTATAACTGATATTTATGGTGTGATATCTTGTTTTAATTTAATCTTTTTGGCATTGCTTTATGCACCAGGAGTATTGCCCACCCCTCTTTTTTTGATGCATTTACTTTACATTTGTGTACTTTCTTAGCTTGGGTGTAAAGTAGAAGGCTTTTGGTTCATGCTTGAATATATGATATACACTAAAGCTTTACAGAGAATATAAGATGCATTGTAACTCTAGATAATACATTCTTTTATTTTTCACTCTAAGAATAAAAGTTGATGCATCTTATGGTGAATTGTTTCTGATACAAATGTATCTATATGTTCTAGAATTTGACTTTTTTTTGCAAATGATGATGCATTTAAAATATTTTGAGAAACTTTTTGAGCATGGGCTAAAACTACGTTAAATGATGTCAAGTTTAAATATAAACCTGTGTATTTAATAGGTCCAAGTGCAAGACGAGAGTCTCTTTGAGAAAAATAAATTATTGCCTATTAGCTCAAATGGTAGATCATTATGTACTATATACGGATGTGAGTTTGAATCCCGCATAAAAAAACTATATCTCAGATTTGTATTACACTTGTTTTTAGTACAAAGGTCTTTTTATCACATATAAAGTCACCAAGAAGTCATAATTCACCAAGAAGTCATAATTCACTAAATTCACATTTATCACACACACACAGATATATATATATATATATATATATATATATATATATATATATATATATATATATATATATATATATATATCGTCCAACACAAGGCATTCGCATCAGATCATAGTGCATAAAAAGGCTTTCACGTGCATCTCCCCCATAAAAAATTGGAAAAGTGAGTTGAGATATGAAAAATGTTTTTCTAAGTTAGATGCATTTTCAACCATACAATTTTACTCTTCTTAAACACCGTGCTGAGTCAAGCTCAGGGTCTTAATTCGCGACAAAAGGAGTAACAATAAGAGAGGTCTCGAAAAACAAGCCTAATATAATTATGTATTCATT